TAGTGGTAGTGGTAGTCGTAGTGGTAGGTGCAGTAGCAGTAGCAGTAGCACTGTAGCAGCCCTAGTAATTACTAGTAATAGTAGTAGTAGTAGTAGTAGTAGTAGTAGTAGTAGTAGTAGTAGTAGTAGCCGTTGTTGTTGTTGTTGTTGTTGTTGTTGTTGTTGGTTGTTGTTGTAGTTGTAGTAGTTGTTGTTGCAGTTGTTGTCGTAGTAGCAGGTGTTAGTAGCCGCAGCAGCAACAAGCAGCCACACGGCCAGCTTTAGCTACTGCTATTGCTTTTTTTTGTTAGGACTCTTGCTGCTTTCTTTTGCCACTCGTTTGCCAGCTTTCAGGTCGAATTGCGAGACGCCGCGGAGTCTGCAAATTCCGCGCGGATCGTCCAAAGCTGGGCAAATCCAGAGGCAGCGAGTTCAGGGTTGAGTCCCTGCTGTTGGCAACAGCTTTGGCGGAGTCAAGAGAAAAAAGGGGCAATGAGGCTTCAGAGTTCTGCTGTAAAACGTCATCCTGACAGTCAGAGCCATAAAGCAGCCACCGGAAGATGTCAAAGCGACAGTTGCAGGAGCCGTGATTGCAACAGGAACAGTATTGTCCACGAAGTAGAGATATGGTAGCCGCTGAAGCCTTAGACTCATATGCAGCAGTGCTTGGGTTTGGCATGGTCCAGTACACGTCTTATAAAACCAAACATATGTCGGTGTTGTTGACAAGGTGTTAGTAACTTGCATCTTGCGTCAGAGGTTTCCTTTAAACAGCATCCTGAGCTCCAGATGTTCTTCAACATGGTGTGTCCTGTCTGGCATCCTGAACAAGAAGGAATCTCTAATCGCAGCTTCCGCAAGAAACCCAGTTTTGAGCAAGCCCCAGCCGAAGCCGGAAAGCTGAAATCTGATCAGGAAGGCACCGACAGACCCAGGACGGTTCACAGCAGGGCTTCGAAATCCTTTTTTGCATCCAGGGTGTAGTAATTTTAGCACCCCTGAACTAGTGCAGGGTGCAGGGACTTATCCATCTGTTTTTCTTGCGAGTGATGTGGTGTCGAGGACTGTAGGGTCTCGTGCAGTTTCCAACGCGTTGAATGTTCGTGCAGTGGGGTTCCCGGAAACTCTCGCACGGCCATTGTCCTACCGATGTCCCTCACCATGGTTGGGTTAAGGGGCTACTGCTACTGGGCTTACAAAAATTTCGGCGACGTCCATCAGAGGGGGTAGACTATGACGGTCTTGCCGATCAAGATGACGAACATTGTCCGTAAAATCACTACATCATGATGACGTCCTAGTTTTAGGCTTGAGGGTCAGCTACTGACGGACAAGCGCGATGGTTCGTACCCTACGATCAGTACTAGATGAACAGGGTGATCGCATGAACAAGGCATGTTGTTTCCAGGTGCGTATGATAGTAGGACTTGACTTGACGCCATAGTACACTCGAAGGCATGATATACCTGACTCGATTCATCTCAGAGTTGGGTTATGCTGCCATCATGGAAAGGGGCCTATACGCTTGGAACCTGACCCGTGGCATGATGCACTATACCCGCGGATTAAGTAAGAGTTCCAACATGACTGAGTCGAACACTGGCAGGATCGGATTCTTGCGGCCAAGACAGCAGCTCGACAGAGGAACAGAAGAAGTTACATGTAGTTCGAAAAATATGTGCGGCAAGTTCTCACGGGGCTGTTCATCCAAACCTAAAGGCAATCTTGCAGCGGGTTGCCTGCGGTAAGTTCATTTTGGCCAAAAGCAGATTTGAAGGTGGTTCGACGACAGACATATAATGGTGAGCGCTTCCTACATCGTTTGAAGCCACGGGTCTGCAGTGCTTTGTAGTCCATTGTCGAAGGCTCATCGCTCAGCTTTGCCTCCCCCGTGCACTCGGAATGTTGAAAGAGATCCTGCAGCATGCATCAAGCGACCCAGGCAAGGTACATGAGTAGTGAGGTGTGGATTTTCATCCGGTCAGTACTACTAATCGCGTGAGGCAAACGCTTGTGTCGGGCACCCTGCGAGCTTAAATTCAAACTGCGCTGCGGAGCAGATGGGTCATGCCTCGCAGCACAGGCATGTCGAGCATCATCTTCACGAAGCCTGGGGCAACGGCAAGCCAAGAAACATCGCAGCCTGCCGCATACAGGTTAAGCTTCGTGACAGAATATGCAAATAGCACCATCAACACATAGGTCGGGGGTAGGTGGGCACAGTATCCCGTTTCGGTTTGGGTCACCCAAGAATTGCAAGCCTCATTCGAGCCAAACGGACCTTCCAGCACACAGCCTCAGAGACCTCAATGCCAGACAGCGTGAAACAAAGCTCCGCGATGCAACTTTCTTCGCCGCAATCTGAGTCCGGCCCGAAGCCACTCAGCCAACTGAAACCGTCTCGGAACTCAAGACAATGCAAAGAGTGTTCAGGGTCTGTGGCCTTGCGGGTGTGGTTCAGGGAAAGCTTCTAGAGCCCGGATTTTAATCAAAGTCAGGCCAAGCATGCTGCGACTTGCGCATATCTCAGTTCTTCAGGGACGGCGAGACCAACCCTACCGTATGTACGTTGGACGTCGCTTTGAGGCATCGGCTTTTCATCATCGTACAATGCAACAAAGCTCACGGTCACGAAAAGCGGCAGAATTCAGAACTGCTTCCACAGGATGCTCAGGATGCAGAAAAGACTCCAGCAATGAGACTGGGGGTTTCTCGGCTTTGGTGTCCTCGTGTTAACCAGCTCATCTTGGGATGTGTCCTAAGCCCTGAAAGCCTGAAGCCGAGAGCCCCAACGACGTGCTCCGCTGAGACGTAGGGTTGTGCAGGGGTTGCGCAGTTTGCGGCTTCGGGGCCTTAGGGCTTCAGGTTCGAGGCTTTAGGGCCCAGGGTTGACCAAATCAAGGCAAAAGTGGTGGCAGGAACACCACACTTCTTGTCAAGCCTCGTGTAATATTCGCAAGAAGCTCCGGTCCATTGAATGAAGCGACAGTCAGGACCTTCCCACAGACGGACCCGAACGAGGACCATCTACTTTTGTAAATAGCTGGGATCCAGGTTGACGTGTTCAATCCCTTGTTGAGGCCGGCTTCGATACAGAGACAGAGGGTCAATACGATCTCGCTTCTACACACACCCAGCCTGATGAGAGTGTCCACTACTCCTTGTCCTACCTTAACGGAGATGCTGCAACACAATGGCATTTTCCGCCGATCCTGCCAGGACCAGCTAGCTTTTCCGGTTCAGCCAAAGCTCGTCTCACTTTCAGAGCGTATGTCTGTGGGCCGCATTGGGGATTTGGAAGTCGTCTGCTTCATGTGTGGTGTAGTGTTCCCGAAAGCCTTGTTCCACACGGCTGGGCCATGGCACAAGATTGGCTTGTGCGGTTGTGTGAACATACGCATACATGCATACACACATACATAAGTTGGTGCTTTGTATTTGTTTTCGTCATGCCTCTGGTGCCGTAGGCATGATGACACACTAGATGCCCTAGCAAGCACGACCGAGGCTGTCCAAAGCCAGCCAGAAGCACTCCGAGACTGTTTCACACTCGGACAGAGGAACACGAGTGACCTATGTTGCATCAAATGCTGCTCGGCGCAAGGAATCGTTTTAATTGCAAACCCTGCTGCTCACAGTTCGCATGGCTTGGTTGGGGTCCTTCTTCTCGGATGACTATTTGCTTGGTTTTTCTTCCACGGCCGCCTGCGTGTTGCACTTGCGAAGTGCCAGTCCACAGCTGGGGGTTTGGGTGTTGGCTGAGGGCTTGTTGTCTGAGATGGAACTCGCATACCAGTCAGGTAATCTTCTAACGACTTTCATTGGAGCTCTAGGTCCAGTAAGTCACAGGTACCGTCGCAGCAGTGTCAAAACTTCAGCTGTGGAGGGTCTGAGACGTCCGCGAGAATATCAGGTACCAAAATGTCGTGCTACTCACTCTGTGATGTGAAAGCAGTAACCTACTATGTGCTTCGATAGGCGACCGGGCTCCTACGAGTAGGAATGTCGGGGCAAAGCTCACCATCGGTCTCTAGGTCAGCCCGTCGCAGTCCCACCTCACAGAACAGTTGGTAAGCCGGACAGGGGGATGGTTAAATCCATATTCCTGAGTCAACACGGTAATTTTCGGAAAGCCGCACACGTTGAATAATGATTCTTGCGAGCGCTGGTCAACGTACATTTTTTGGGCTGAGATGGCCGCAAACTCAGAAAATCAAAGACCCATGCGAAGACGTTTCCAACAGGAGCATGCGTTGTTGCGAAATCGACATTTGCATGTTGGTGATTTTGTGGGTTTCCCGCCGTTTGCGTAGCCTGTGATGGCTGGAAAGCGGTGTACTGGACAAGTCTTTTCCACAAGCAGCGTGTAAAGTGATATCGATCATGTTAGTGCTTCTATGGGCTGCAGCTCGAATCCAAACAGGGCACAAGCCTCACACGGTCATCGTGACTCCCAGATAATTTTTGTGTTGCCGTCGAGGATGTGCATAAGCGGAGATGTATTCTGCAGCCAACATCGTGGATCCGATTGTTTGGAGCTCAGTTGGTTGCTGGTTGGTCACATTGAGTCGAGCTAGACCAGAGGCAGAGCAGAGCGTAAAAGATTTGAGGTGCTGGGACGCATTGGCTTTGCTCGTCCTGATGCAAGACATGATCTTCACCCCACTGCAGGCACCTCCGGACCGACGTCATCGCTTGAACTCGGATGTCGCTCCGGAATGCCGAAAATATTGGACCCTAAACTTTAAACCAGACACCCCGAACCCTGTACGCCAAATGTTGCGGTTGGGTTGCCGCGACGAGCCTGCCAGCGAAATGCTGAAGCCCTGACGGCTCCGTGACACTGTAGTTCGTGAGGGACACAAGACATCACAAGACAGTAGCCTCAACGTTTCCAGCCCGAAGATCGCACCATCAGACGGCCGTGCCTAGACGACTCTGAGGTCTTCGATGCTGAATACCTGCTGCAGGGACAGCTCTTCCAGAGGCCTGACTGTTTGGGTTTTGTGTCAGGGTTTGGTTTTTGAGGAGGCTTAGTCATCGTTGGTGTACTTGGCATTCAGATACATGCACCTTGCTCATATCTAACGAACTACTCATGAGAATTAGTGGGAAAGCCATTATCTCCTACTGCCTGATTCTTGGACTTGTTTCCCCCGCTCCGGCGCTGGCTATAACCGGAACTGCGGGGGGTCAACTCCCGAACTCGTGCCTCCCCACCCCCTCAACATCCTTGCCTCAATCCAACACTTGAGCGTCAGGGTGAGGCGAGCCGTCTCCGATCTGTTTTGGTTGGCTGAGTCTCTGCTACATTGCTACATAGGGATCTAAAATCCAGGTGTAGCAGTTCGGGGTTCTAGTGCAATGTATTAATTAATTCTAGCCACAAGAAGGTTTAGGATATATACCACATGAAATGCAGCACCTTCTGAAGCCTTTCTGTGAGCAGTCGTGGGTCACTATCATGGCAGCTAGACTTCATGTGCGACGTTCTTTGCACACATAAGCTATACCGGCAGTCAAGGGGTTAAACATCGTCTCAGCATTACGACGGATGCTGCAAACCCCAAGGATTATTCACTGTCTTCTTCATGTTTAGCTTATCAAAGTGTTCATTGTAGTCTTCGCCGAACTTCAGTGCAGCTATGTGTGGTTGCCCTGAGACGGCCGGTTCTGCTCTGACAAGGAATCTTGAGAGCGGCCACAAGTGGCAAGGGGAGGCACGGGAAATACGTAATGTGCCCATGACCGGCCCTCTCGCGTGTTCACTTAGGTAGGAGTGAATGTTACGAAGACTCCACAGAAACTTATATGCTTTCACCATCTGCCGCAACTCAGGACATTGGAATGAATTTCTGCACAGCGGTTCATGTGACCCGGCAGACACTATCGTGGTTTAGGTCACACGATGAGTTATTTCGAAGTGAAGCTCTAGAGACCACAACACGGGATCATTACTGTACAGTTACAAAACAAGCAGCATGGTTGCGACAAAAAGGTGGCACGTCTTCTTTGTAGTCTTTCCCTGTTCGGGGTCTTGGCATGTCACGCATGGTTTTTCGTTTGACAAAAGTTCTCGCATGTCATTCTGCCACTCTTGTTATGAACATCATTCATTGCTTTTGAGTTTGGTCAAACTCGATTAGGTACGATGAAGTCAGTCCGTTTAGTGATCGTTAGTAACTTGGGATCGCCACCTCTGCATGCTGTTTCAATCCAGGTGGACGGCGTCTTAGTCCAGGACCGCATAGGCATCGCACGTGCCTACGCCAAGTCGTGGCTGGCCTTCGACGTGCTGATCTTGGCTGCGGAGATTCAAGCTGCAAAAAGCTGTCACTTTGTGAGTAAAAGTTGTCTAGCTCTGAGCCCTTCTGTGGGTCTTCTTGCTCCAGAGAGAGATATGGATATAAGGGCTCCAAGCTTCCTGAAGTCCTGAAGCGTCTGCATCGCATAGGACATCTGCTTTCTACCCACAGATGTGACACTGAAGTCAGACAGGAGATTCCAACCATCTTCCTACCACACGAGCTTGGCATAGGCCGCTGCTGGCAAGACCGTTTCAGCTTTGCGGGAATGGGAACTCGAGGTACTGAGGGTTGGAGGAGAGGACAGAAAGCTGTGAACTGAGTCAATTTTGATCTGGGGAGCGAACCGCAGAGAGACACAGAGACGCAGGACAGCAATGTTTCTTGAAGCTCCTGCACACGAAGTGGAAATCTCATGGTTTTGACATGCTTCGACAGGGCTGCCAAGAACAGAGTAGCGAGGCTCCAAACAAATCCGTTTTCAGTTTGATGTCCCCGAAGGGTCTTCCAAAACAAATCCAAGACTCAGACACCGTATCCCATGCAGCCCCACTCCACCTGCACCGCAGCAATGCCGCACAATGCTTGCCCACAACCGGATTTTCCGAACAACCCTGCCTCACCTGTCTCGCCGCTTGCACCGGATACCACGTGCCGCGCCGCCACATCTGGCTGCCTCTCCCATTCGCCTTCACACTTTCCCAGTGTGCTCCGCTGCCTCCGTTCCATTCAAGCTAGCTCTGTGCAAGTTTGCCCTGCTACTCGTCTTACCAGCACCGATCTCAGTGTCACGCCCGGCCCGTTCACGAACTAAACGAGAACCCATCATACAAGATGTTTTCGGACGAATCATATCCCAAAGTTGATGGTGGACTTGCCATAACCGCCCTCGACGAGCAAGCAAACTGATTGAAACGCAAGCAGAGGTGCAGTCTTCACTGAAATTTGATGTGTTTTGTTCGCTGATTCCCAGCGACCTCCATGTTTTGTATTTGTGTCACGCTTCAGCAACGAGCCTTCCGGTATTCCTGGTGGCCAAAGCAGGCATCATTCGTATCATCCGTGTGGGCCGAGTGGATCGTCTCCTGCGCTGCCTTCGGCTTCTGCGCCACTTGCCCAAATCCTGTGAATCTTATTACTTCTTTGGCTGGTGTCAGAGCTCCTTCCCTGCATCCGACTTGATTTCACGCCCAGTGCTGTTGCGCATCATGTATTCTCCTCAAGAGTGAAAGCACGCGCCCTGCGATAGTCTTGACAGAAACAGGTGTCACCAAGTCTTAAGTCTCAGGTCGTGACTTGGTTTTTCTTACGGACACCCAAGGCCTGCTCAAGCTGAAGAAGATTCTGGACACCCTGCCACTGGTTGTCGCTTTGAGCACGCCGGCTTATATGATGTGCTTTGCTATGCAGCTCATGTAGCTTCCTGCAGCACTTGAGGACCCAGTGTAAAGATGTGGGAAAGGACCCAGTGTAAAGATGTGGGAAGAATTCCGCGGTTCTTATCAGCCTTCCAGTCACTACTGCCTCCATGCATTGGGCTTGGAGAATGCATTGTTGTGAGTACTGTACTGTCCTTTTGATTCTGATTCTGTTCGCAATATTCCTTCTTGTGCTAGTGTTATTTTTATTGAATTTATTGTCTGTATTGGTCATTTTGTGGCGGTTGTTGTTGTGTGTGGTGGTGGTTGCGTCTGCTGCTACTACTACCACTACTACTACTACTACTACTACTACTACTACTACTACTACTGCTACTCCTACTACTACTACTACTACTACTACTACTACTAGTACTTTTATTAACACTTTTACTACTACTTTTACTACTACCTTTACTAGTACTACCTTTATTATTATTACTACTACCACTACT